CCTGCCCAGCCAAGCTGACACACAACCTTAACTAGTACAACAGGGGTTAAGTAACTGGCCAAATCACCAGCTAGGGCAGCTGAGAACTGAGCATGTCTGAGGCCACTCTCTCAGCCTGCAGAGCATAAGCCAAGTTTGAATTAGTTGAAGGCTGAGAGCATTACTTTCTTACTGTACTTTCACAGGAGGCCCTGGGTGGCACAAATGGTTGCTGCACTCAGCCACTAACCCAAAGACTGGAGGTTCAAGTCCACCCAAAGATGCCTTGGAAGAAAGGCCTGGTGATCTACTTCTGAAAAGTCAGCCACAGAAAATCCCTGGCAGCCCTGTTCTGCTCTGACACGCTTAGGGTTGCTGTGAGCCGCAATCAACTTGACAACAACTGGTATACTTTCAAAGGCTTGGAAAACGTAGCTATTTACTGAAATACTTAAAAAACTGATAATCCAAGTCCCCAGTTCTTTTGTTAAGAAAACATATGCTTTGGGAGCTGAAGCAGAGCTGGAGGTTTCATTCACAGGGGTTGGGACAGAGTGGAAATTTCCACACAGGAGTCTTTCAGATGTACACTTCCAGGGCTGAAGTCCTCCCAGAATCCAAAACTTTTCAGCAGATTAAAATGCACAGCTTTCGAACAACCTTTGCTGACTCTGTCCAATTGTCAGGCTTCTCTAGAATCCGACTGGGCAAACATGATTCACTGCATTCTTGATGAATTAAGCTGTAAATCACACATCTTTTTTTTTTTTAAAGCATGCATTAGTTTCCTCACTTCTTGGCCAAACCAAGTACAAATGACCACAGGGGCCGTTTTCTTCCCGGGAAAATGTCTTCCTTTTTTTTTTTTTTCCTGCTCTTCAAATGGAGGATCGCCTTGTAAGGTTGCAATGGTTGGGCAGTACCTCACAGTGACATTTTTTTGGAGTTTGAAAGTGCTAAGCGGCATCTGTGCAGAATGGTTCTGCACCCAGCTTTCTGAGGTCAGATTTCAGGCGACCAGCAAGCCTGGGCACACATGGGAGCTGACAGAGTGGCAACGGCAGCTGGAGAAACCCAGTGTCAGGAATGCTCCTTGAGTGGAAAGGGGAGAGGCTGCAGCAGGAACCAGACACTCCCTCTCACCTCTGCACCCCAACAGTCGCTGAGCATGAGAGCCCGTCACTCTCATTAACCACGCCTGTGTGCCAGGTAGTTCCGGGCTCTGGAAATAAAGGAGGCTGAGCTCCAGCGGGAGAAGTGTCAGGAGCTGGCCATACTGGCATAAGATTTGCCCCATCTTCTAACTGAAAACCCAAGAAAGAGGGAGGCCGCGGCCTCTGCACAGGGAAGCACGAATGAGCCCCAGAGAATGGCTTTTTCTCCCTGCGGCTGCTACCGGGGATTTTGTTTGCATTCGAGCAAACATTGACTTTACAATTATTTTCTGGTAAAAGAAAATGAAGGAGCTCTGGTGGCGTAGTGCCTAAGGCTCTTGACTGATAACCAGAAGGCTGGCTGTTCAAACCCACCAACCACTCCTTGGAAGGGCGGTTGGGCAATCTACTTCCGTAGTGATACTGCCTCAGAAACCCAAGGAGGGGTCACTATGAGTTGGGTCCAACTTGACAGCAAATAACAATAACAACAACAAACGTAAATGAAGAGTTTTGAAGAAATAGGAACTTTTAGAAAACAGTTGTTTCCAGAAAATAGGGGGCATGGCTAAAATAAAGAATTGATATGGCAAGACGAAGCTAGGCGAAGTAGATTTACACAAAAAGCATCGCACGTGTTCTCAGTCCGCTTCTCCTTTCACACTCAGGAAGAAAACGCACAAAGTGGTCAAGGAACGGGGTATGGGGTCGGGGGCTAAGGGCTGGATTCTACTTCCGGCCGGCCCTTAAGCCACCCTGGGACCCACCCCATTTCTGCACCTGTGTAGAACTTCCACAGGGTCTCCAGGGACCCTGCAATTCCTGTGATCCTTTTACCCGTTCCCATTTTCCTCCAAACCACTAGGCATCCCAGATGAGACTATTTCAGCTCGCCGGCTTCTCTGTCCCCCGAGCTGGCTCTGAGCAGGACTAGCCCTCTCTCAGCTGTATGCTAAGCAGCTCTGCAAGGCTCAGGGCGAGGAGCAAAACTGCCCGTATTGTTGGCAACTGGATAAAGCCCGTGGCTCCAGAGCCGGGGTATGGAATAATGGGGGCAAATCGGTACCCCTGTTCCAGGCAGCCCTGGACTCTGGGTACCTGCATGCCTGCCTTCTTTGGACCCCAGACACCCTCCCCAGCCTAGGTGGCACCCCTTCCAAGGCCTTGCCCGTAGGCAGGGCCTCACTGAAGGACAGTGGTCTCCTTCCAGCTGCCCTACACCCCACTGAGACACAAACAACCACCCTCTTTTAGTCCCACAACAGACCACCCAGGCTTGCCAAAACAAGGACAGACTCTGAAAGGGGATAATTTTATTTTCAAGGGTCTAATGGGACCAGTAGATGGAATAAAAAGTGTCAGCTATTAAAAAAAGGCAATCAGCTGTCTTCTTCCAGATAAACAAACTATCCTTTGAACTAGAAAAGCTGCCTTCCCACTGGGTCAGCCTGGGGTTAGATCACCAAGGAGTCTCCCCTCAGATGATCTCTCATCACTCCCCGCGCCCCCATTTCTCTCTCCAGGAGCTTCCAGGACCCCTGGGGCCTTGCTAAGAAATTATCAGATGACCTCCTCTGACATAGAGCCCTCCCAGGGACACAGTGCTCACATTTAGAAAAGAGGGTTTGTAGTTCTCTCTTAGGGGGGTGGTAGCGGGTCAATGGTAGAATTCTCATCTGCCATGCAAGAGACCTGGGCTCGATTCTGACCAATGCACCTCACCTACAGCTACTACGGATGTGTCAGTGGAGGCTGATGTGTTGCTGTGATGCTAAATGGGCTTCAGTGGAGGTTCCAGACTAAGACACACTAGGAAGAAAGGCCTGGTGATCTACTTCCCAAAAATCAGCCAGTGAAAACCCTGTGACTCACAACAGTTCAAGCCCATTGTGTATGGGTTCACCGTGAGTCATGGGCTGACTAGACGGCCGGCTAACAACGACCATAACCAAATCTCTTCAGGGAGAATTCCAGGTGGGGAAATGTCCCTGGCACCTCTCAAGTCACTCCATAAAGCTGCCAGCTCTTCAAAACTATAAGACTTGCCTGCAGTAACAACTTTCAACATTTTATAGGCTTTTTAAAAAACTCAACCGCCATGGTATTTCCTCTCATGTTTATAACTTCTCTCTCTAACGATTGTAACTTTTTGTTTTTGTGAATGTGTGAAGCCTCCGCTAGATGATTTACAGGAATGCCAACAATGCTTGACAGGGTGAAAAACCCAGAGAGTTCCCCTCAACTCCTACATTAATATTTGAAGAGCAGGACTCGTAAGACTCATTTCCCCATCTTGGCTTTTTCAGCCATTTTCTGCTGTAACTTGGTTCTAGCTTTTCTTAGTTGCAAGATTGAGTCAGAAACTTTGAAAAATTTTCTGATTAAATGGAATGTGCTCCATTTAATGGAATGATTGTAAAAGAACATAAAAGTGTCTTAATTAAGATCCAATATAAACCATGAGGATGATGTGAGAAGACATTGCTCCTCTAGTAAGTCGGTTTATACTCTGAATTTGTAACTGTCACTGAAAGGAAAATATATAGCCATATCATAACAGGTACTTAAGAAAATGATTAGGGGTTTTGTCCCCCAAAATGACAAATAAAAGGGTAAAAACTACTTTTAAAATATACTATGAAAATATCTCACTGAAACATTATATATCATTGAACAAACACTGAACAAGGAATGAAAAGTTTTGGCTTCTGGTCTTGGACTATCTACTAACTAGTGTATAACCCTGGATATGACTTTTAACTTCACTGTATCTCAGTTTTCTCAACTCCAATCATGGGTTTTAAGACATAAAATTGACACTGAGGCAATATCATCCAAAAATGCTCCCATCCTCCCCATGCACACTTCCATCATCATTTTTTTTTTTTTTTCAAACAAAGCGAGGAAACAGAACTTTGGTGCTACCCTGGTAGTGTGACTTTTGCTACAAGGCCAATATGTGGCCCATCCGTGGTGGGCATAGGTGCTGTGCTTGTTTCTAGCAGTGGAAACAGATTTCCAGTGATTCCCTCAACACTTACTTCTTGTTCTGCTGGTGGCCAGCAGTCCATGTTTTCTTAGAGCCCAGGATGAGGGTGGTTGACCCACAGGGTCCTCTCAGACACAGAAACCAGGATTTCAGCCTCCTCAACACCAGGCTCTCCGCCTCTCAGCTACTCATTAAACTGTTGTCCATACAGGTTTACAAAGGGATGAGAGGTGTAGCTGGTACTGGAGAAAGATGCATTACTCTGTCCTCCAACTTTTGCCTTGTGGAAACTATGAGTATGGCTCAAACTAGCATGGAGCTGGAGGTCCTATGTGTGCTGTGGTGGAAAGAACGTTGGCCTTGAAGCTGGAGGACCCCAGTTCCAGGTTTGCTTGAACTACTTACTGGAGGTAGGGATTGGCAAGGCCCAGCTCCTTTCTGAAACTCAGGGTCCTCAACTCAAAGCACCCCTTCCTCCTGGGATTCTGGTGGGAATTGAATGGGGAGAGGTATGAGAAATGACTTTGGGATCCTTTAAGAGAGATGCCCAAATGCATCCATTCTCTGTAACAACAGTGCTAGTTAGGATCCCTATGAAAGACTGATTCTTCTCTGGGACCTAACTTTGCACTAAAGATAAACCAAGCCAAAAAATAAAAATGACAGAGGGAGCAAGAGAGAGAAAATCACTTGAGGAAATGTGTATTAGGATCTGGGTCACCTAGAACATTTCAGAGAAACGTCCTGAGCTAGTGCCCTCTCCATGCTGACCTCCGTGGAGGTGTCACAGGGCATGCCGAGAGCCGAATGTGAGCGTGGCAGCTTCGTGGTGCTGCCCTGACCCGGGTTCCCACCTTCTGGCGTGTACCAGGACTTACCAAGTAGCGCTCCTCCTGCCTCATGCTGGGGGTGCGGATCATGTGATTCTGTTCTCCTCTCCAATCTCCAAATCGACGGAAAAAATAGTTGGATAAGAACCGGTTGACAGGGTCTCTAATGATGTTAATGTAGACAGGCTGGTCTCCTCCAAACCTAACACACACATGCACACAAATAAGAATCTCATTATAAACTGTCACACTGGAGCAAGAGAAAGCCTATGGAGAAAATGCCTGCCTGGAGCTTAACAGATATGGGCAGATGACCTTGTCTGCTAACACAGCAATGAACCCTTTAATAAACAAGCAGTGTTTCCTGACAGGCATGTTATTACCATGCAGAAAGTAGAGATGGTAATACCTGTCCCACATACTTGTCGAGAAGCTGTGAGGACTGTTTCATAGTATAAAGTACTACATAAATGAAGGTATTAGTCAGTGTGAAGGCAAAGACTTTGGTCTTGTTTTCTTATCAGATGTAGGGTTCTTGAGGGCAGGGGCCACGTGGTCTTTGACTTTGTGCCCCAGTGCACAGCACAGAGCCCATAGGCACATAATTGACACTCAGTGAATGTCTCAATTGATTGGGAAATTATGACTGCCTTATGGGTGAAACAGTATTTATTTTATGTTCTAATTCAAACAATTCTCATTCAAACAGTTCCAGGCATGGTGTTCTGCAATGAGTGGATGGGCAGTAGCTACCATTATTGAATGTTTGCTGTTGTAAATATATGTACCAACTCTCTTAAGCTGCACACCTCAATGGAGTAGAAACCCTAATTACCCTCATTTATACCTAGGGAAACTGAGGCAGACAGTGGGTGACTGTGCTGCGCCATGATCTGGCTCTAGAACATGGGCCCTTCACCATGGAAAGAAGATCTCAGAGTTGAAAAAATAATGTGAGGAATACAAATAACTAAGTAAAAGTCGACAGGTGAGAAGTCCTCACGTGATAGCTCGAATAAATATCCAGCTGCTCCATTTCATTCATCCACAAAAGAATTAGACCGATAGGGCCTCCTCAAGGCGACACAGGCTGGCTGAGATTTTCTGAAGGATTCCTCCCTTTCTCATTGAGCTGCTTGAAAGCAGAGAAGCCTGGGAGAGTACTCCAGATTTTGGGCAGAGCTCTTGCCCTGGTGACCTCCTGAGGGACATGCAGGAGGTCCCTGTAGCCCAGTGACCCTGAAGCCTTCTGATGAGAATGCCAACACATTCTGTCTGGGGTCAGAAATTGCTCAGAGAAAACAAGATGGCGGGACCCTGTGCCCACCTCTCTCCACCTGGCATTAAGTTCACCTTTCAAAACCCAGCTCAGAGACTCAGTCACATCTTTCAGAAATGTTTGACTCCCAACCTAGTGTGGCCCCCTCCGCTGTCCTCCAAGCCCTGTCTCCCGTACTGTGTTTACATGTCTGTCTTGCCCATCAGACGGGGAGCCTGAAGGCCAGGAACCACTCCACAGTGCCTGGCATAGAGCAGATGCTCAACAAATGACTGAATGAGACATGAAAGCCTAGGTGTGTGGTTCCACGTTTTCAAGTCTCTGCCAGTAGCACGGCTTTCTTGTCAGAGGAAAGTAGACTTACCAGGCTCCTGATCCTTTTTGTGTGTGCATTCATTCATATAATGCTGTTCCCCAGTTTATGTGAATTATAAAAGAGAATCTTCAAGAGAGAAACCCAAAGGAACAAAAAGGAATGATTCTCCAGTGGTGGGATTTCAAGCACTAGGACACATGAATGATATTCTGGAGTTCTCAAATCCCACCACGCTGGAAAACCTGACGCCGATGAATAAAGTTCCTCTGGCCAATATGAACCCTGTCACTTCCCAGATGTATATGAGGTGACGTTTCATACACCTAGATGAGCCACTAACTATAATCCCGAGAGTCAGAAATGCTAACCACCAGCTGCATCCTGAATATATCCTCCTCTTTTAATTAAATTGGGTTTCATGTCTATGATAAACAGCAGCTGAAGTAATAATGCTAGGTCCTAGGAAGATGAAGCATGCATACCAAATGTGTATGCAAACAGACCCTCAGAAATTGCACAATGCTTTTATAAACCTCAAGTGTGCTTCCATATTATCATGGAAAGAATGACAACTAATGCTAATTAGCAGAACTGCCCAGCCACACGAACCAGTGCACAGCTTTCCACTATGAAATGACTCCCAGCCTGGCCACAGCCATCTCCTGTCAGAAGCGATGGACGTCCAGATCTGATAAGGCTTGTTGAGCTTGGATGCCCTGCTCCTGGTTATACATTACAACCTAACACACACTGTCCAGAATAATTTTCCAAAACAGACCTTTAGATGGTTGAACTCACTGCCAAGTATTAGATAATGTAATAGCTTCTATGCAGAAATTTCTAACAAGAGAGAGGTGTCTCCCTTTCCCAGATGGCAACACTGAATAATAATTCCAGGCTGCCAACACTTGTCTTTTGTTGTACACACAACTTCCTCCCAAATTGTTCAAACTGAGTGGCATGTCAGTTATACAAGAGGAGGTTGGAATAGCTCTTATGTGTCCTGGTGCCTGGGAAGGGAAATAGATTCCTCTACCCTCATCACATTCTCTCTCAAGATATCTCAGTATTTTTTTTTTTTTTCCCATTCTGGTCAGAATTCCTGGTCACCCTTAAGCTTTATGGGTCACTTGAACCTACTATTTATTGCTGAGTCTATTCTGGGGCCTAGAATGCCTTGTGTCCCACCATCTCATATAGCACAAAGTTCTGCCTCAATTTTATAAACCTCAAGAGAAGATTCCCCAATCTCACTGTGTAGTCCATCGTACAGGTCAACCCAGCCATTGATCCATCTTTGTTATGCACAGTATTCTTAATCTTTATTTTAGGCACACTTCCTTTTGCTCCATTCCATGTAAAAGGATGAGTTTCACTCTCATAAATCTTTTACAACTTTTAATTTCAATTTAAATACTCTTAACCTTTTGTTGTTGTTGTTGGTTTCCTTAAACATTTCCCTTAACATTTGTCTTGAGACCTATTTCCTTTCATTGTATAAGCTCTAGTCTAATTTGGTGTTCATCAAGCTCAAGAAAGAAAAAATGTGGCGACCACAGCTGACCACAGGTTCTAAGCTATGCTTTCCACACCCTCTGTCTTTTGGTCAATACAATTATTGCAGATTTGAAGCTAAACTAGTAGGTATTACCAATTTCTGTAACATTTGTTCACAGGTCCTATTTACCAACTCTTTAATCAACCCTGTCAATGACCCTCTCCAAATTTATCATATTCTTTTTTATTTTTTTTTCTGATGAGGAGATGAATACAATCCTCTAGGAATAATAACTGCCTGGTTCTCAATTTTTAAAAATATATTCCTAAATATATCATTCTGGCATTTTCCTCAACATCTTACCCCACAGCAACCTCCACCAATGAATCCATCAACAATCTTAGTCACCGCTCCAATAGTTATACAAAGCTCTTGGGTGAGTATTCTTGGTATGTGTTCATCCAAATGCTGAAGACATTCTTTCTAAAATATTATTACATATATAAATAACATTTAAGATCTGTGCTGCTCTGGAAAATTAAGATTATTGTCCTCAGTAGTAGTTCAGTGATAGAATTCTCGTCTTCCATGACAGACATCTGGGGTTCAGTGCCCCACTGCACAGGCACTACTCGTTTGTCAGTGGAGGCTTGCATGTTGCTATGATACTGAACAGGTTTCAGTAGAGCTTCCAGACTAAGACAAGTTAGGAAGAAAGGTCAAATTCCAATCTACTAAGTTGTAGAACTACTAGAAGTAGTTTGATCTATTTCTGAAAATCAGCAATAAAAACCATATGGATCGTAACAGTCCACCCTTATTGTGTATGGGGTCGCCATGGGACAAGGGCAGACCCCGTGTCAGCTGACAACATTGTCTTTGTACTACAGTAGAGTTTTCTGTAACTGGAAACAATTTTGAAAGTATATCTTGTTCTTAACCTCTAGCCAGGAAGTAAAGGAACTCTGGTTGCATAGCGGTTAAGGCAACTGGCTGCTAACCAACAGGTTGGTGGTTCAAACCCACTAGCCACTCAGCAGAAGAAATATGGGACATTCCATAAATATTTACAGCCTTGGAACTCAATGTGGGTCGAAACTTAATGTGGGTCGGTCTGAGTTGGAAGCAACTTGATGGCAGTCAGTTTGGTTTTTCTGAGCCAGGAAGTAAGGGTTAGCCTTGTGTTGTCACCTACATGAAAAGAATAAAATGACTTGTGAGACAAGAGGCTCATGGCTTTGATCACTTATCAGTGAGAGATGAACATCCTTTGAAGTGAGAGAAAAGGCCTCAAAGAGACTTTGGCGATAGGGAGAGGAGGTACTGGAGGCAGGAGGTGGGTAGAGATGGTTATTTAATGGTCCTTTGTTGCAAGCCATGTGGAAGCAGTGACTACTGGCGAGCAGTCCCTGGACCCCAACTGTGGGCCAACACTGAGGTAGAAGGGCTGCACTCCAAACACACAACCCTATGCAGGGATGTATCAGTCCTTTGCTGCCCAGGATGAGGCCTTCCATCATCAAAGGCCACTGCTCTCCGGAGGGTCCTAAGGAAGAGAAGGGGAAGCATTGCTGAGGGGGAAGTTATGGCAAATAAAGTGAAGGGAGGAGGTGTGTGGGCCACTGGAGTTAAAGGAAGACTCACTGATAAGGCAAGAAACAAGCAGATGGGTTGAGGGAGAGCCCAGATCTTACAAGTCCTGATGGGCCTTGGAAGCCTGGGGTTTCATGGGGCAGCAGACATCCACTCACTATAAACTGAGAAGCAGAAAAGTGAGGAAAAAGAGTGTCGTTTTTGGAAGATTCATTCAGCACTGTTTAAATAGGATAGACTAAGAGGAAACTGTCATTTAAAATCAAACTTTTGAGCTATGTTTAAGTAGATCAGGAAAATGTTGACCACTAATACAATTATCAGTTTGGTGTGGTCTCCCAGGTTTGAGGTTTCTGTCACTCTTATGAAAGATATGATGAGCACAGAATAAAAATGGGTCACTTTGCTAATAACAAGAAAAACAAAGCCAACATTTAGAAATATGGTATGGAAATCAAAATGAATTATGGAATGAGCCAGCTCTGATTTGCTTTAACTGGAGGGAAGCCATTGAAG